TATACTTGTTTGTATAATTCTGCTGAAATAATGTTTCAACAAAACAAATGAAGGCAACGCTTTGTAACGTATGTCATTCCAAAACAATTTATTTATAAAGCACTTACCAAACTCTTGGTAGAATAACAGCATCCTTTAATTTGAGTCATTTTGTGTTCCTAGGTGTTTTGTTCGCTCTGAAGGTGCTCAATAACCATTACCACCCCGGAGGTGTGACTTTTATCTTGGGTCTTCCTGTGTCTAACCGCTATGCTAGCTGGGTGGAGCTTGTTCTGATCCACCTCACAGCTCCTGGGTGAGTTACCAGAACTTTATCTGATTCTAGAAACACAAGCATGAATAGAGCTGAGGCATGTAGCAGAGCACCAGCACTAATGGGCTCAGATTATCCCTTTCTAAGGTTTAACAAACACGTTTGTTTCATAGTTGCCAAGTCCGCTTATTATAAGCAACTTTGGGCTTGTTTTTTTTCTAAAGTTGCTTATAAATTTTGTGGGTTGTGGTTTTTTTTGGGCTTGTTTTTCTGTCCGAGTGAAAGCAAAATACGGATGGTAGGTAGTTTGTCCCTTCACGCCCCCCTTCCACGGATGTTACGTCCAGGTGGATTTTTTTTTTCAATTAGCCTTTATTTATCCAGGTAGTCTCATTGAGCCATGAGAACACATTTTCAAGAGAGACCTGTTTAGGGAGCACATGGTGGGGGTTAAGGGCCTTCCTCATGGGCCCAGAGTGGGGCGAATGAGGGTGGGGGCAAGTGTGGGTGTTTCACCTACCCCACTCACAATTTTAATGTTGTCGGGGCCGGGGCGTGAACCGGCGATCTTCGGATCACAGGCCCACCTCTCTAACCTCTGCGCCACCACTCCCCACAACGTCCAGGTGGATGTTACGTTCAGGTGGATGTTACGTCCAGGTGGATGTTACGTTCAGGTGGATGTTACGTTCAGGTGGATGTTACGTTCAGGTGGATGTTACGTCCAGGTGGATGTTACGTCCAGGTGGATGTTACGTTCAGGTGGATGTTACGTTCAGGTGGATGTTACGTTCAGGTGGATGTTACGTTCAGGTGGATGTTACGTTCAGGTGGTTGTTACGTCCAGGTGGATGTTACGTTCAGGTGGTTGTTACGTCCAGG